GAAGGAAAAGGAGGAGGAGAAGAAAGAGGAGGAGGAGCAGGAGGAAGAGGAGAAGGAGGAGAAGAAGAAGGAGAAGAAAGAGGAGAAGGAGCAGGAGGAGAAGAAGAAGGAGCAGGAGGAGGAGGAGGAGGAGCAGGAGGAGGTGTCCTCTGGATGAGGAGGAGGAGGAGGAGGAGGAGGAGGAGGAATAATAATAATAATAATAATAATAATAATAATAATAATAATGGGGGAAAATAGAAGCATAGGAATGCCAATTAATTAAATTGTATTCTAAGCCATACTGTATTATTCTTTCTTATAAGATTGTGTTATGTGAACATAACCCCTTCTCTCAGAGAGTCTCCAAATAAGGGGAAAAATGCAACTGGATGCTGTAACTGAAAGTGTTTTCAGTTGAAGACAAATGTTTTAGTCTGCTTTGCATCACAGTGACCTAAAATTTTTTATTAAATCCAAACAATCTAGGTGGTTTTTGTTTTGTTAATTTTTTTTTTGTTACTTGTATTTCTGATGTCCTAAGAATCCATTACTTAATTCAAGGTTGTAAAGTTTTGTTCTGTTTTTTTTTTTTCTTTCTTCCATTTTTTTATTGGTGCATACATATTGGTGTGATTTGCTGTTACATATTTATATATGCACTTTTTAAAAAATATATTTATTTTTAGTTGTAGTTGGACACAATACCTTCATTTTATTTATTTATTTTTATGTGGTGCTGAGGATCCAACCCAGCCCCTCATATGTACTAGGCAAGCGCTCTACCTCTGAGCCACAACCCGCCCCCTCCCTGTATATGCACTTTTTAAACTGTTTTTCTGGTGCCAGGGATTGAACCCAGGGGTGCTTAACCACTGAGATACATCTCCAGCCCTTCTTTTTAGTTTTTATTTTGAGACAAGGTCTTGCTAAATTGCTGAGGCTGGCTTTGAACTTGCTATCCTCCTCCCCCAGCCTCCCAAGCCACTAGGATTATAGGCATGTGCCACTGTGCCTGGTATAACTTTTTTTTTTTTTTGGTGGGGGGTACCAGAGATTGAACTCAGGGCTATTTGACCACTGAACCAAAACCCCAGCCCTATTTTGTATTTTATTTAAAGATAGGGTCTCTCTGAGTTGCTTAACACCTTGCTTTTGCTAAGGCTGGTTTTGAACTCCTGATCCTCCTGCCTCAGTCTCCCAAACTGCTGGTATTAAGGGTGTGCCACCACACCGGGCTGGCCTAAATTTTCTTTTAAATGAAGTTTCATAGCTATGTTTCCTTCACAAAGTTTTATATATTTAGCTCTTACTGGTGGGTTTATAATCCACTTGGAGTTCATTTGTTGAAAAGCCTGCTCTTTTCCCACCGAAATGTTTCCGTAGCCTTGCTGAAAATAAACTGACCACAGAATTATGGCATTTTCCTAGATTCTCAATTCTAATGCATCAATTGACATGTTTTTCCTTAAATTTAGCATACTGTGTGTGTGTGTGTGGGGGGGTATTGGGGATTAAACCCAGGAGCACTATACCACTGAACTACACAACCCCAGCCATTTTTATTATGTATTTATTTTACTTTTACTTTTTTTGTTTTGTTTTTAGATGTTGATGGACTTTTATTTTATTCATTTATTTATATGCGATGCTGAGTATTGAACCCAGTGCCTCACACAATGGAGGCAAGTGCATTGATCCACAACCCCAGCCCCCACCTCGTTTTTTTTTTTTTTAATATCTTTATTTCATTTTTATGTGGTGCTGAGGGAACCCACTGCCTCATGCATGCCAGGCAAGCGCACTACCACTTGAGTCACATCCCCAGCCCCCCACCCCTTGTTTTTAAAGAGTAAACAGAGTAGGATTTTAAGTAAGAAGAGATAAATTCCTACCATGAGAGAGGGGGGATGATAGCAGAAAAACTCATGTTGGTGTGCCAGCTTAGGAGTTTATATATGGTTTTGGGCAGAGCATGGACCAAAATTTATTTAAAATAGGTATTGAAAAAAGCATCCTGGCCACCATCTGGGTTCTCTTCCATCCTATCTGTGACCATCCTCCTTCCAGTAACTTCCATCTGGGTTCATCCCTGGGACAAAGGATTTGGTTGAAGGTGTTCCCAAGAGTCAGCCTCCAGGTTTTTTACATTTGAAATAAGCCTTAAAGGTACTCCTAAAATGGGGCCCATTATCCTGACTGCCTGGTCATTTTACTATCTATTCTATTTTATTGTCATTTACTGTGAACAGGAAACTGTGAGGATGGTCTTAGGCCTGAGCCTAAGCGATTCTTTATAAACTTTTTAAAAACTCCAGTTTGAAACCTGCAATCCCACTAGGCACACCAAACCGAGGAGCCCACCAGTATTGCCCTCAGGCACAAACAAGTCACTCCCCCCACCCTGATACACTCAGAGTGAAGCCTCTGGCAGGCTGTCCTCACCTGATAAAAAGGAAAGGACAAAAGATCAGGGTGGGGACCACCAGACCAGATATTTTAACCTCAGGGTAAATGACGGAAGCTGATAAAGATTAAAAGGGGGGGGGGGTCAAAAGCCCCCAAATTTAGTATAAATAACAGAGCAAAGGAACAAACATTCAGTCAACCTATACTGATGCACACAAGCTGGAGAGCTTGATGAGGACCTGGATGATGACATCATCATTTGCTAATCCTCTGCATATACCTCACCACTCTCAAACTCTATAGCCACATCTTGACCCTGGTGAGAATGGAAACTTCTCTCTAAGACCCTCTCCTCAGCCAGCTGTCAACTCTACCCCAGGAGAAGTCTGCCTCCGTCCCAGACCCAATCACCTCGGTCTGAGTGAGTGTGCATCTGCTGGACTTAAAAGCCTAAGGCTTGAGACTTTTGAACTGAACTTGAGCTTAGCACACAGAGGGAATGTCTGTCATTAGCCTGTCAGATTAGGTGTGTTTGCAGTGCTTAGAATTAATTAATCTAGAATTGTCTGCAGTGAATTGATTAATCTAGAAGTTTTTGCTGTGAATTGATTATGTTTATTGTAATGCCTAGCATTAAGGATTGTCGTTTTCTTGATTAAGAACCTATAGAGTGACCGGAAATGACGTAGAGGAAATAGTAAAACCAGCCAGCAGCTAGCCAGCGAGGCGCTGTGGGCTGGCGGGCTAGTGGGATGGCAGATGAGGAAGAAGACCCGACCTTTGAGGAGGAAAATGAAGAAATTGGAGGAGGTGCAGAAGGTGGACAGGGAAAAAGAAAGAGACTTTTTTCTAAAGAATACTCACAAGGCAATGTCAATTGGAAGACAAGGTCGAGTACAAGTTGAAGATATCATCTTCTTGATTCGAAAGGACCCAAGGAAGTTTGCTA